TCCCCAACCGCCCCCTTGCGGCGGCACGCCTGCCTTCCCCACTGGCCGAGTGCGGCGGCACGCCTGCCGTCCTCCACCGCAGTCTGGACACAAATTTTATTAACCATTTCAGTAGGGTTACCCCCGCAGTGCAGGTGTCAACTGCTCATTTTTGTCTAGGTTAGAAAGAGTTATATTCACCTGATTCTTGGAACCAGCCGGCTGTCACACTGCTCCCTGCTGCCTCTCTACTCCTCCTCTGCAGCGATGGCATGTCTCTGTGTCCTATACACAGAGGGGAATTTATCAAAACTGGAGCAGACAAAATCTGGAGCAGCTGTGCACGGCAACCAATCAGCTTCTCTCTTTCATTTTCAAATCTTAACTGAACAAACTCGAGAGAAACTGATTGGTTGCCATGGGCAACTGCTCCAGATGTTGTCTGCTCCAGTTTTGATAAATTCCCCCCACAGTGTATAAAACGTGATGATGCAAGGACCTTAGACCACTGCAGCGGAGGGGGAAGAGAGGCTCCAGGGACCGGTCTAAGAGCTAGCCGGCTGGCTCGGAGGATCGGGTGAGTATAACTTTTGTTTTTTAATCACCCTTTACACCAGGAACCCAACAATACCGGAGGTGTGTTGGATGCCAAAGATTCTTCGGAGGGCGTAGAGCAAAGATGGGAGCCAGCAGAGGAGCACGGGGAGAATTTATCAAAACTGGAGCAGACAGAATGTGGGGCAGCTGTGCATGGCAACCAATCAGCTTTTCTCTTGAGCTTTATTTGAAAATGAAAGAGAGAAGCTGATTGGTTGCCATGCACAGCTGCTCCGGATTCTGTCTGCTCCAGTTTTTATAAATTCCCCTCCATGTATTTGTTTGCAACAACAATGGGTCAGGGTGTGTAAACCAGACGCGCTCAGATTGTTACATTCACACAACAATTCTCTCCCAGTTATACAAAGTAACTCGTAGCCAAAGGATGTGACAGGTTCTCTTTAAAATTGTAGAAATGTCACCAGCACACCAGTCCTTTTAAGATGGCAAAAGCTTCATTTATTGAAGTTTTTTGTCATATGACCAAACAAGCGCTTTCGGGGCCGCACAGGGTCCCTTCATCAGGCTTTAGCGGTCCGGAAAAGCGCTTGTTTGGTCATATGACAAAAAACTTCAATAAATGAAGCTTTTGCCATCTTAAAAGGACTGGTGTGCTGGTGACATTCCTACAATTTTGCTGACATTCGCGGCGCCATCCGCAGTCACTGCAAGCACCCCCCACTTTTAGGGACATATCGGTAAGGAGTGCGACAAGGATAGTACTTAGGTTCTCTTTAAACCCGCAGCCACGGTCCTCCATACCTCCAGCATCTCTCGCTCCCGGTTCCGGATTTCGGGGCTGGCCGCGCTGATGAGCATCTTCAGGTTTGCGGTCGGCGTCCATGGGTCACTGTTGCTGACCTCGGGTGGTTTGGTCGGCGTCTTCAGGGCGGCCGCCGCGCACTGCAACTCTGACAGCACCAACGTCGGCTGCTTCGAGGGTGTGCGCGAGATTCTCTTGTTTAAGTGCAATCCATATTGGAGGTTTACTTTCCTCACAGTGCTGCCAAATCCCTCACATCCGGGTCCTGGGAGAGAACAAAATCATTAGAAGTGGGTGGAGACGGATCTGTAATATGGAACAGCAAGAGTCAACTAAAGCATCAAAATTACAGATATATACAGCCCCCAGTCAGTGCCACAGAGTATATAGCTCCCCTGTCAGTGCTGTATATAGCCCCAGTCAGTGCTGTATACACAGAGTACTTACCCCCCTGTCAGTAATGTATATAATCTGTATACACCCCCCAGTTAGTGCTGTATACACACAGTATATATACCCCCCAGTTAGTGCTGTATACAGTATATATCCCCCACTTAGTGCTGTATACAGTATATATATATATCCCCCACTTAGTGCTGTATACAGTATATATATCCCCCAGTTAGTGCTGTATACAGTATATATATCCCCCAGTTAGTGCTGTATACACAGACCAGTCACATGTCGCGCACAGCTCGGTGGTGATCAGCTGACTCGCAGCCCCACCAAACCTGTCCGATCAGCGGCATCCAGACCCGCCCCCTCCTGCCTCTCCTCCAGTCAGCGCTCGCAGTGGGCGTGACCCGAACGGCCGAGTCGTTCGGATTCCTCGCAGTTCCCATCTTCAAAATTTGGCGCCAGAAGCTGAGCGGGAAACCGGGACCGACATTCCCGCGCCCGCCACACTGGCACTGGGCCTCCTCCTCCCCCTATATACCCACAGGGAGGCCACCACCACGACACTCCCTTCCCCCCTACACACACCTCACCGGGAACAGGATGGAGGATGCCCGGGCTCATCATCAGCTGGCCGGTGCCGGGGGAAGTTGAGGGGCAAAGCAGTTAAGGCCGCGCAGGGCATGCTGGGAGCTGTAGTCCTGCAACTGGGCAGCCTGACACCTCATGATACCTATACTTTTATAGATCCGCCATATCCCGTCACCCTGTATAGAGAGATAGAGGACCCCACCGTATACCGTCCCCCTGTATACAGACATACAGGAACCCACCGTAAACCGTCCCCATGTATAGAGAGATACAGGACCCCGCTGTATACCGTCCCCCTTGTATATAGCAAGAGATGGCAACCCTGGAGAGGTGGAGATCTACCTGAACAACATAGAAGAGATCAAAGATCACCGGGGTGCAGATCACTGTATGTGTCAAGACTAAGTAACATGGAGCACTGGGGTCAGGAGTCTACAACCCACAATGCAGGGGTCAGGAGTCTACAACCCACAATGCAGGGGTCAGGAGTCTACAACCCACAATGCAGGGGTCAGGAGTATACAACCCACAGTGCAGGGGTCAGGAGTTGGCAATTTAGCAGTCAGTTATATGTAACAGTGCAGAGGTCAAGAGTAGGCAACGCAGAGTGCAGACGTTAGTAGTATGTAATGCACAGTGCAGGGGTCAGAAGTATAGTGAAAAGTGTAACGGTCAGTAGTATGTAACAGTGCAGAGGTCAGTAGATTGTAACACACAGTGCAGGGATCATGGTAAGTAACGCAGAGGTCAGTAGTATGAAGTGTAATGGTCGGTGATATGTCACAGTGCAGAGGTCAGTAGTATGTAATGCACAGTTCAAGGTTCAGGTGTAAGTAAATCAGAGTGCAGGGATTAGAAGTATGTAACACAAAGTTGAGATGTCAGGAATAAGTGATGCAGTGTTCAGGGGTCAGTAGTATGTAACATGCAGCGCAGAGTTCAGTAGTAACTAACATTCCTCCCCACCCCCAAGCAAAAATACCCCCCCTTGCAGTACAGACATCTAACCTCCCAACGTAATTCCCCCTCCCTCTGTAAAATTCACTCGCTAAATCTCGGACACAGAGCTCAGGAAGTCCTCCCAGGTCTCCCCTTAGTTGGGTCATATGACATGTCAGAGCTGAGGAGACTAGGACTTCCCTCAGCCCTGCAGTGCTGCTCTGATCCGAGGTCCAATAGGCAGCAGGTGGGGTTAGGAAATGGCAGCACGGCACAGCAATCTACCTGCGCTCTATGGTTAGATCGCAGTCAACCAGTTGCCAACCCCTAGTATATAGAGTTTAGTATACAGAGTAGGAGTATAGTATGCGGTACAGAGTTTCGATGAGTCCAGATCCTGGATTCCCCCCTCACCGCTCCGATAGCGCTGACTGGCGGAACGGACCGGGGAGGGGGCGGGTACAGCTGGCTCTGCCTCTAGATAGGCAGAGCCAGCTGTCACTCACGCAGCTGGGCGGATCCAGACATAATTGTCAATTGTCGGGATCCGCTTCAGCTGCGGCGTCTCAGTATATAGGGAGCTGTAGCTCGCGGTATACTGAGTCTAGGGTGACGGGAGGACGCTAGTTTGTGTCCTCCCGTTACCCTAAGGAGAATTATGGGGAAAAGCCCTGACCCCTTAGTTCTCCTTTAATCATTCCGACTATAACCGGTGAACCTGCTCCCTTCCCCCGAAGCCTTTTTTAAATTTTCTCCCCTTTTGTAACATTCTGGAAGCTGGTCAAGCAAAGCCGAGTCTGAGGAACCATCTCTGTTGCAACTTCCTCCTACCCTGCGAGACTGGCCACATGCTGCCTTGCACAGTGCTAGCTCACCCCGGCTGTGACAGGTGACATTGCGCAGCCCTGCAGCCCTGTTGCTCCACCACTGAACAAGGTTTGGGGCTGGTGATTCCCTCCTGTGAATGGAGGAAGGGTGAGGAAATGAATGAGATAGGGAATGTTGCAAGCACATCCCTTCCTTGCTGGACAAACTGGTGACACATCGCTCCTCCCTTTCTGGTGAGTGAGGTTCTACAATGTTTCAGCCAGTTAGGAAAGAAGCAAATTGCATCCTGGTGATGGGGTGGGGACTGCGAAATATGATCCTTAGTCTTAGATGATAAAATTATAGAACGGACAATGGAAGCTGCTCTTTAATGTGGATAATTTTAAGTTCCAGCAGAATCAGCTGGTCCCCTGAGCACTGGCCCCGATATCCTGTTGTAGGGGGGCTCCTTTACCTTGCAGTGTCCTATAGAGTCACCCTTGTGTGTGCTAGTAAGCAGTGTGTGTGTGTCCACAAACACAGGAAAAGCAGGAAAATCACATCACCAGCACTCAGTAATAAAGATAAATGTGTCCCTTTTATTGGACAATAAGCGTCACAGACATCCAATTTTCCTGTGTTTGCACGGCGCCATCCGTGGTAATACATCACTGCGAGCACCGCCTTTTCTCATCTGGCCGGCGGGACTGCTGTGAGGAGTGCGGAGGGTCTCTCCATCGACTTATGTCTCCACAAACACACACAGGCACAGCAAGGCAAGACGCTCTCCTCCTCTAAGCTAGGAGATGGACGGCTGCTGGAGACTGCTTTGTCTCTTGTGATCTAGTACTGGACAGGAAGTTTAGGGAAGCCGAGCTAAGAGAGTTGGAGCTGTTTGTCACACACCGGCTCAAACTATTGGGAAGAATACATTTTACTCTCTCAATAGTTGTCCTTTCATACTATAAACCAAAACCTTTCTCCTTAGTTTTAAAAATAGTGTGGGGGAGGGCTAAGACCCCTCTGTTTTTTTTTTTATTGCTGGTGACCATGGTTACAGAAATAGAAAGCGATGGGACATCTAAAATTTCTGAGTTGTCACAGGAACAGAAAGCGAGGCAAAAAGCTTCCAGTGGGGAAGCCTGTTCTGGTGACAACTAAGGAGGAGTTTCTGCTTGCTTTGGAGAGATCTTTACTTCCTGCTGCGTCTCTTGGACAGGAAGTGAAGTCATATTTCTCTAAACAGGATACCGGCCAAAAAAACCCAAACAAACAAACTGATAGGGGTCTTAACCATTCCCTACCCTAGGCCAGTGGTATGCAACCTCAGCACTCCAGCTGTTGTGATACTTCAAACCCTATTTGCCTCTGGGAGTCAGGCATATGGTTGTCAGAGTCTTGCAATGCCTCATGGGACTTGTAGTTCTACAACAGCCTGAGAGCCACAGTTGCCTACCCCTGGGTTAGGCTTTCCATTAGTGTTTTGCATATACTGAGCTAAAGCCCATGTTCAATGTATGTACATAGTAGAGGTCTGTCCCTCACGATCTCCCCCTCTACATTGTTCCCTCTCCATCTCGACATATTTTATGCACAGTGAGTTATACCCCAACCAACTTGTATACTCTTGTAATACTGTTGTGGTTCTGTATTCTCACACATATACTGGAGTGAGGCTGACCTCTGTGTACAGGTCTATGTGGCTGTTTAGTACATACTGGGACCTCTATAAACACTGTGGATAATGGGGGTAGACTGACAACTGGGCAGAGACCAAACACTGTGTGCAAATACATGTGTACAATGTATTTTATGGCACACCGATCCCTGTGTATTCCTATATAGGTGTACATTGAATATTCTGGAGGGTCAGGTGGCCCCTGTGCACACTAGGCCTCTATTAGAAGATAGATATATAGTGTATGTGTGTGTGTGTGTATGTGTGTGTTTTACCTGTGTATCTGTTGCGGTTGTATTCGGGCCTAATTCCACCAAAGTAACTTTATATCGAATTTACAAAAAGTTGCAAAGCTGAAGGCAATATAATAAAATGATATTTATTTCTGAAGAGTCGCCTATGAATTGACAAAAATCTACGCGAGATGATTATGGTGATCAACGATCGTAGGTTCTGGTCTCACTTTTACATCGACCGAATGGATGCGTCACCTTGTCTGCTCTTATGGGACCGCGTAGGATGAGATTGTAAGATGTCTGCTGCTCTTTTTAGGCTATTTTAACCCGACTTCCAATCTTCCAGATGATCAAATGCACCAAGCCTGCCTTCTACCAACACTCTCTATCATGTCACAGGCTCAGTAGAGGGCTGTTGGGAGGTTCTCTTGATTTGGTCATTTTTGTGATTGAGCTTTACTGGAAGAACGAACAATAGAAGGTGTTGCCAAGCTTTACATTTGGGCTCGTCCTTGGGAGAAGCTCTACAGTTTGGGGCTGATCTCCCCGGGATTTGAAGAAGTTCTCCGGGGCAAAACAATTTGGTCATTTTTGTGATTGGGAGTTGGCTGAGGTTAC